TTCCAGTTTTATGCTCTCCATTACTTACTAGTTACTGTTTTTACAAAAATTGTTTGGGAAATTTTGGTTTTAGTGATTGTCGGAAAGAGTTGATATAACAAAATTTAAACCTTTATATCAAATTTTTATTATTATATAAACCTCTTATACTGTATATTAAAATTGGTTAAAAAATTAAAGATGATTAATATTACTATGATTAAAATTAAATATTATTTAAAAAAATATATAACTATATAAAAATATATAATAAATATAAAACTACTATATAGTAAATATTTTTTATAATAGTATAATAATTATTTAAATACTGTAAATAAATAATACTATATACAATACTGTATATAATTTTTTAATTATTATTATGTTTGTATATAATAAACTTATTTTATATATAAAATTATTGTTAAATCAATTATCGATAAACTTTGTATTTTTAAAATTTTACAATTTGATATTAATATAAAGATAAATAGCTTTTTTTAATAAATAAATATTACTTAAAAATAATCTTTAGCAATAAGCCGTAAATTTGGCTTGATTTGTCAAAAAAATTAGCAAAAAAATCTTCGAATATGTAAAATTATTTTAACGGGTTTATCACACTTATATACTGAAAATCACAAAAATTGCCTCTAAACTTTATTAAAAGCTCAAGCAAAAATTTTTTACTTTAAAAAAAATCATTTAACTATATATATATACTACTATACCGTATAATATAGCTAATAGTATATACAGTATTATACGCCGTATAAATACATATATGTATTAATTATTGGCTATTCACTAATTTCTCCGTGTACTTTTCGGATCTGGTTCAAAAAACTGTATTTGGGGAGATTTGATTACGCATATAAATATAAATCCTTAAACTAATTTTAAGATTTAAAAACCTTTGTTTAAAAAAAAAATAATAAAACTTACGATTTTAATAAAAATTTACAAATACGCAATTACGTACGTACGTACGTATACATATCTAATTTTAATAGTATTTTTTTTTTAATATATATAACTATAGTAATATATAAGTATATAATATATATAGTAATATATATATAAAAGTATTAATATTTTTATTGCCTGGTAAATTTTTAAACCATATTTACAACGGTTTTACAACGGTATCGTTTTTAGTAAAATGGAATTAAAATTTGAAAATTGTGTTACATGACATCAATCAGTGAGATAACGTATTTTGTAACACTATACGAAATTCGATAAATGTGCCCAAAAGAAGACGGCAACTAAATTTTTTTTTTTTTTTTTTTTGTTATATATATTAAAAAAATATTTATTATTATTAATTGCAAAGCCAAAATACAAAATAACAAATAAATAAAAATATCTGGTTGAAGAGTCTAGACATACTCAGCGTAATATGCAAATTTATTAATTATTGATCAGAACCGTTTTCATTCGCATCCGAAATTTCACAATCTCTGATTGCATATTGAAGAGAGGCATATAAATTATAAAATGAAAAAAAAAATACTTGGCCTAGACTTATTATTTATATTTGCATACTTTCCAGTAACCTGCCGCCAAGAAATAATAATAATAATATTTACAGATTTATTATAACATTAATAAATAATTGAAGTATTATGATACTGTTAATATGTATTACAGAAAAATTTATTAATATGGACCATATTTTTTTTGTCTACTCAAATAGTACGTTTCGACTCACATGACCGCTTTTCTTGCTTGATGTTTAATTTGTGGTTATTTGTTGATTAATCATCAATTGTATAGTGATCAAACATTGATCACTGATCCAGCCAATCATCGGGCAGCTAAGCCATGTTAACAACAAATGTGGTTGAACTCCTTATTCCCAATTACTCCATAAAAAAAAAAAAAAAAAAAAAAATCCACTAAAAAAAAAACCACAAAAAAATTCACAGCTTTTTGGTCACCTTGGAATTTTGAAATTGTATCTCTTTATTCATTCATCTTAGTTCATTGTTATTTTAGATTTATATATATATCCGACTTCTTTCTATTATCATAAGTCATGTCTAGTAGAATGGATGAAGCCCTTACTAAACCAAGGAATGTCACTCATACTTTGTATAAACTTTATAACTGGTTGCAAATGGGTATGATTGACCTCAATCCCGAATTTCAAAGAGGTACCTTTTCTTATTTCTTAAGAGTAAAAGAAAAATATTTTATAGAAAAAAATATATATAAATGGCCGCCAAAGCATTTGTTTAACATATATTCACGTGGCGCAGCGCGGCTTAGTGGAAATATATAAGAAAGCTCTCTTGAAAGTTTCCTTTGGAAGTTATACTTCTTCTGGTATACTCATTACTTTCCTGTCTATTTCATATAATGTTTTTTTTCTGGGTATTATCGTTCCGGCTTTGTAGATGTTGTTTGGACAGGTAAACCAACTTTTCCAATTATTTCATTACAGTAAAACAAGATCTTCGTTTTTACATTCACATTCACATTCAAATTCATATTCATATTCATTTTTATTATGATTTAAATTTATAAATAGGCATGAAACAATCCCACTTAGTAGATTCAGTTCTTAATAATTTTTATATTCCACCTGTCATTTTTTCGTGCAAGAAGTTGGATAGTAAACGATGGATGCGCGTATGCATTGATGGAAAACAGCGGCTTACTGCTATCAGAAAGTAAGTCGGGATTTCTATTTATTAAATTCGAACGCCTTCTTTAAATAGTACATGATTGGGTGTGCGATGTCCATCTGCGGTACATTTCGTGTGACCAGGATTTTTTTAATATTGCGCTAATCAACTTCGTTAAACTTAGGTTTATGGATAATGAAATCCCTCATCTTAGCCCTTCAGATGGTAACATTTCTAAACGGTATTATAAGAGCATTAATGGTTCAAAACGTTCCTTAACTGAAGCGGAGCGAGAACTCTTTGATTGTAGTGAACTATTATGTGGTAAATATTTTGTTTTCTTTGTTTTTAATATAATAGATTTTTAATATAGTTTAAATATATGCTGCTAGATTTCTCATTCATCTATTATGTATTATTATTTAGTCGAGTATTATGATCTTACCTTGCATCAAGAGCAAGAAATCTTTAGTCGTGTACAACTTGGTGTAGCCTTAACACCAGCTGAGAAACTCCAAGCTATTAGTAGTCCAATGGCAGACTTTGCACATACAATTTATACTCAACACCCTTCTATATCTGCTATAATGGATACAAAACGTGCTCGACCTTTCCAATTGATTACCCAATCTTTACATATGATTGAAATGGAACCTGAAAAATTTAATGCTACTCCAGCCACCATTACGAAATTTTTAAAAGAAGATCGTGAAGTTCCAGAATCTCTTCGAACGTTAGCAAATCAAGTATACCGAACGATAGAAGAGATGATTGAAGACGATGCTGAACTCTTCCACCGTGATAACAAATTAGCACCTGTAGAATTTGTCTTTCTAACATACCTAATTTCAAAGTATCCTGGTCTTCCGATCTTTCAATATCAGAATCGTCTTTTAGCGATGAAGAAACATGTACGCGCAAAACATGATGATATTAGATTTAATAACAAGGTGTATGATACATTGAAAAAGTTTATTGATAACATGGAGTTCGAGTACGTACCTGCAACTCATCAATCTAGTAATTCTTCTTACTCTTCTCCTGTTCAAGCATCATTTGACACTCAAACTTCGTCTGCGACCCCTCGTGTTGGCAGGAAGAGGGTCAAACATAATCCTGCCGAATGAGAGAATGAATTCATAAAATTGGATGTTTATATCATTTTAAACTTCATGTTTTATTTAGTTGAGCTGCTGTTTTATAAAAAATGTTATTTTAATGGAAGGTGGTTTAAAGTTGATGATACCTTTTATTTTCTTTTATTTTCTTTTTATTTTGTTTTTTATCTCTTGTTGATGGGTGTGACTATGAATAAAAAAAAAAAAAAAAAAAAAAGTGTTTTTGCTTGTGCCAATATTCTTATAGATATATATAAAATTCATCTTTGATAATATATATATATTTTTCGAGTAAATATTTTTATATTTACATATTTTTCTATAAAAATTTCTAAAGTGGTTTTAATTCTTTTTTCTTTTTTTTACTTTCAAGTAATTTGTTAAATAAAATTTACGAATCATTATCGATATTTTTTTATAGAGCTGCATTATGATTGGTCCGATAATTCGTGTATATATTAATGATGCAATCTACAAATTCTTTTTTTAAGACAAAATTTTTCTTATCGGTTTTTTTTTTTTTATAGAAAAATGGTGTCCTTTAGTTGTGACCAGTGTGCTGACGTTATTAAGAAGCCTAAGCTTGATCAACACCGTATAAAGTGTCCTATTACCACGTTTACTTGCATCGATTGTTCTAAAACGTTTGTTGGAACGAGTTATAAGTCTCATACGAGTTGCATTAGTGAGGCAGAAAAGTATCAAAAGGGAACGTTTAAACCCAAAAAAGTAAGTAGCCTATAGTTATATACTATTGTATTATTATTGCGTAGTTAAATATACTGATATTTACAATAATTCAGAAACATGCTCAAGATAAGCCAAAGTTGTCAGAAGAAAAAGAACAAAACCCTTCAGAAGAACAGCAAAAACCAAAAATCAAAAAGAAACATAAAGGATCAGATATATTAACGAAAAAGCGTAAAAAAACCAACAAAATAATAAAGGGACAAAATCGTAGTGGTAATTAGGGCTTTGAAAAATAATAATTCACATTTTGATTCATAAAATTTCTGTTATATTTTTATCTATTTAATAAAAATTATTTTTCGCTACTTATACATTTGTTAAATTGATATTAAACAAATATATAATGTAGCTTGTATTTAAATACAATTAATTATGTATACGTATAACGGGCATATATATAATAAATAAGAGACATAAGGGGTTTTTTATTACCTCCTTGCCACGTATGGCGTGTTTTATATAAGGGATTTTTTATATTTGAAATTTTATTATTATATATATATATATATAGTAAATAACGATAAGATTACCTCCTTGCCACGTATGGCGTGTTTTATATTTGAAATTTTATTATTATATATATATATATATAGTAAATAACGATAAGCAGTGTTGGCTGATTAACCTATATACCTTTATGACTGTCATAGGTCATTTGGTCATAATGAAGGTTATGACTTTATGACCTTTTAATAATATTAGATATGACCGATATTACTTATGATCCAAAAGTCATATGATTATATGACCAAGGTCATATCGAAAAAATGTTATGACTTATCCAACACTGTCTATAGGTGCACGTACTAGAGACACTTAAAGAACTATATTGTAGCTAGAATTCTCTATGTGCACTTTTTTAACTTTCTTAGGAATTATAGTAAAAAAAAGAAGCGTGCATTTATGGAAGGTGAGCATTTTATAAAGAGCAAATTATATATAATTCTTATAGGTTGGAACTAAATTATGCTATGCATTTAGAAAAAATTATATACTATATATAAGCATTTATAAAGAGTGTATTTAGCATTAAGTTTCAAGCTTGAAACTAGTGTTACAAATCGAAAGTTGTAAAAATCGATTAGTTGGTTAGTTGACAACTAATCGATTGAACTTTTTAGGTATATACCAACTAATCGATTAGTTATAACTAATAGATTAAAGAATTAATTAATTCTTTAATTAATTATTTGCGATTAATCGATTAAAATTAGGCTTTAGGGTTAGAGTTAGTGTTAGAAATGTTTTTTAGGAAGCTGGATTTTTTTTAGTTGGCATTTTAGCGTATCGTTATTAAAATTAGGTTTTCGCCTTAAAAAGCAGATAATACGTAAATTGGCTACATTGCTCAAGTTACACTGAATTCCAAAGGTTATTGAAAAAAATTAACCTAAAAAAAGTGACTATTCATACTGCATTAGGCTTCCGATATACCGATCAACAAATATGTCCCTTAATTTATTGGCAAATGTATTAATTAAGAGATCAACATCGGTTCATACGTCTAATTTCTTATAGATTATAAAAAATCATAAACTATACCCTTATGCTTGTACTTTTATAATTCAAGG